AGTTCCATATGCCACCACAGAAAATCAGTGGGTTGGGTTTGACAACAAAGACAGCCTTAGTACCAAGTACCATCTGTTTGATTGAACTATTGCTCAGTAATTCCTTTGCAAGTGACTGGTTGAACACCGTTCTGGTTAAATAGATATTTTGTCAACGTGACTTTGGCTGTTCATCTCTCAGGTCAATTACCTAAAAGCTAACAAATTCGGAGGAGCTGTTGTCTGGTCTCTGGACCTCGATGATTTCCATGGACAGTTCTGTAAGGAGGGAGCTACCCCTTCATCAGCCACCTGCATACTCTCCTGGTTCCAGGAAACCAAACAGCAAAAAGTGTCAGTCCTGTTCTGTCTTAGGGTTGTGGTTTTTAGAGTGGATTTGATTTAATGCAATCAGCACTAGTGTAATTACCTTTTATCTACTCTTTCTATTATATCTCAGCAGCGGTGGTCAGTGATATTAAAATATGACGTGATAACCAAGATTAAAGAGCAATTAACACATCTGATTCTCACTGTTTTAGGTTTTCGTGGCCTGACCGCTACAAGTCCAATTCCTACAAAAACAACTACCCCCACTACAACAACCAACCCCACTACCACTCCAACTACCACTACTGGATCTGAAGGATCTTCTGGAAACCCCTGTGATGGACGGAGCAATGGGGTGTACACCAACCCTAATGAGTCAGGTTCTTTTTACAACTGTTATGGTCAGATTTTCTACATCCAGGACTGCCAGCCAGATTTGGTCTTTAGAGAATCCTGCCAATGCTGTGACTGGCCCTAAAGAGTTGTACATGAGTCACTTCACTGTAAGTGGTAATATTTCTATTCATTCATTTATCAACAAATGGGGGGGGGGTACTCTCAAAAGTTATTATTCACTGTTGAGTTATATGTGGAAGAAATGCTTAATAATGGATATGGTTGCTTGTTTGTTGACACCACCTAGTGTCCTAGTCCTAGTAAACTTCAAAACACAATTCACGCATCCAATGCCACTGCCACTAAGCACACAACACACTATACATTTAGGTCACAGGATACATTTTTTAAGCATTTGGTTAAATAAAATTTTATGAATTTGAAACTTTTTGTACAAACCACCTGTACTGTGTATTTACAATTGTTGTCCTGTCGGTGTCTGCCATCATATAGGCTGAAACGCATGGCTTACATAATTATATGGTTGTTGCATACATATGCCATTGTTGATATCCAACTATTGTATGGGTGTGTTCTTGTTGTTTTATATTTAAAATTGTACTGAATTGATGGAGCTGTTGCATATATATAATATAATACTAATAAAGACAACTAAATCAATAAGTTAATAATTGCAAAATAAAATACAACACGTTTACCACTTTTTGGCCCATTTGGTTTGGTTTTGTTCTATGTTGGGTATTTTCAGGTGTTTCTGAGGTAAAAGACAAAATATACTGAGGAAACAAGCTGCCTTACTGGCACCCATGAAAAAGCCATTCAGATGAAAGTATGAATTAGTTTTGAAGCATTTCTTGACATCAGAGCCACCTGCTCTTACACTGTAAGATGAACTACTTTGCAATCAAAAAACACTTTAAGGTTTTAAGTCTCGTGATCAGCAATGAAAAAAAAAAAAAAGATTCCCTGTAATGTGAAAAAGCTAAAACTGCCATTCTTAAAGAACACCCAAATCAGCAACACTACCTTGTTTTCAACTTACTATTTCAGTTTTCTGGGCCACAAACAAAAACAACGCTAATTCATACAAAACAGCTACTAATAAGCTAAATAATCTCCCTGTGTGCTCAACAGAAGGTGAAAAATTTGAGGGAAACCGATTGGATTCATATTATAAACCCTTTTTATACATACCTTTATAGGAATACAATTTGGAAAATGCAATCGTGCATTAATCTTGTGAGAGAAAGAAGTGAGGAAATATTAAAGCAACACTATGTAAGATTTGGTAATTGCAGCAATTTGGCGCCCCCTGTTTCAGAGTGCAAAAGCACTGTCATATATATGGACAGATGTACGCATACATTACATACATAGAAATAAGTCTATGAAAAAAGAAAATAAAACTTGTTCTCATGTGTGTCTTACAAGAAAAATATGTCTTGAATCTACGGACGACGTTTTTCACACCAGCAGTTTGTGTATATATATGGCAGGTATGTGTGTTTTGGCAAGACTATTAAATTGCATGATGAAATTTACTGGTTTATCTGTCAGTGTTGATTTTGACTGCCAGAAAATAATCTGAGATGATGAGCTACTGTCATCATCTCATCATTTTGATTCATTCGAAATAAAGATTACATGAGTGTCAAGCCCTCCACCTCCGTCTAACTGGCAGTGTGTCTTGATTACAGGAGTGGAGTCAGGTGTGCAGGAGTCGAGTCACCAGCTGCCAGTGATCCTCGTCATCTTGCTCTGCTTCATATAATTGGCCTTCTCCTCAACACACACCACCAGTTATGCATCCAGCCTTATCATTTACTGTTTTCTTCTGCCAGCAGTTCCCTGGCCTCACTCCTGCCTCCAACATAACATTGTCACAGTGCAATGTCAATAGTCAGCAGTGACCTATGTCAATTACAACAATGGCTTCAGCCATTGATCTTTTTCTTTAGTATGCTTTAAGGTCAACTACCTAACAGAAAACATCTTTGGGGGTGTCTTTGTCTGGTCTAGTCATCTGCACAGTCTTCTTGTTTCAGGTAAACCCAAAATATGCTGTAATCCCATAAACGTATTGTGTAATGTCCAGAATTAAAATGTATCATGACAACAAGCACATCATTAAAGGTTATTGTTGTATTTTTAAACAATGCGTCTCAAGATTGTGTGTGAAGTCAAATCACTTTTACAAATCAGGATTAATTTTAATGAGTCAGTCACTGATAGTCCAGCATTTTATAAAACTACTATAACTGTACCACATTACATTTTAGAAATTCACAATTCAATATTGCCACAGAAAGATCATCTTTTTATGTTGTCTGTTAGCAGCCAAAAAATATTTTGCAGTCATTTCATCAAAGTTGTATGTACCGTAATCATTTCAAGTTTTCAAGTACTACAGTATTATCACTTCATTCATTTATATCATCATCACCACAGTCTACCACAAAATCTCTCAAATGCAAAGGAGCTCCAGATAGTTATCCAGTGCTCATTTTGTCACTACAAGGTCAATACTGTATATCATCAAACAAGATTAAAAAGAGCATGTTGTTTACTGTAAAGCTGCATTTGTAGAGCAAAGGAGAATTGTAGCTTCTTTCTCTAAAATGCAAAATCACGGAATTAATTTTGTTTGAAATTTAGTGACTATACAGCAAGTCACAGTCCCGTTGGCTGCTGTTGAAATTATTCGGACTAACAATGACAGTCTTTTGAATTGCAGTTGTTAGGACCCGTACCGTTTATCTTTTAGAGTTCATGGACAGAGCTGTGAGGTTCAGGGAGCTTCTGAATGTCACAATTTTGAATCAGACTGAAGTAAAATGTTATGAGCTCCTCGTAGTTCTTCTTGGAAATCCTTTCATTGATGCCATGGAATCTAAGAAAAAGAAAAAAAATCCTTTATTGTATCAATTACCTCTTACTGCATGATAATGGCTTTTTATTACCAAAGCTGAGGGGTAAACTGAGCAAAAGGTTGGTTCTATACATAAAACTTCTTCACTATATTAGTTCAAGACTAAAAACTATGAGTCTTAACAGTACAAGTAGGTCACGCCGTTAGATCACAAGTTTGTGATGTAAATGTGTGAGCAACAGAAAGCTCTCTTTTGTTCAAGAAAATGCCTTCTGGTTCTCCAGATATTACTCAGTGGTTTATTATAATGACTGCAGCAGGCTTTGAGACCATTTCTATTCAGTACTAAACATGCTAGATTCTTACCTCTGAGCATCCCCTGGTTTAAACCAGGCAGGGGCGAAGCGATAAATATTATTGGTCAGGTCTTTGAAGTGTCGACTGTCTGTGTTCCCAATACAGATACCTGTACATTCGAACATATTAAAACACTTATGGAATAATGATGAATAATTAATAACCACATTGTTATACAATTTAAATCTATCTGGATTCTACCTGGAGCAACTGTAACTGTTGGAAACATGTCCAACACAGTTTTCTTAATGATCTGGAAGCCAAAGGCTTTTTCATCACTAGAGCTGATAGGCAGAGGGTCAAACCCATTAACAAGTTCCATCTTCACTCGCTGGTCCCCCACTGTAGACTGGATGAGGTCCAGGACCTAGATGAGACAGTACACATCTTCAACTCAGAATATTTCTGGTGAGATACATACATCAGAAATTCTTTAAAAAAGAGTAGAGATTCTACCTCTTGTAATGACTGTGCTGAGTGGATTCGTAGATTTACATAAGCTTCAGCGAGGGAAGGGATGACATTTACCTACATGATGAAAAGCAAACTTTTAAAAGTTTCTAAGCAAATCTGAATTGCTTGAAATCTAATTTTTTGTGAATGGCCTTCTATTCAATAACAACTGTACCTTAACTCCTGCATTAAACATGGTGACTGCTGTTGTTGTCCTTACAAAAGCATTAGTGTCTGGTTTTCTTTCAAGTACCCTGTAATATAAAACTTACTGATTTATTCCAATGGACACAATCAGAAGAATAGATGCTCGCTGAATTTTAGGATGTAATTACCTGCCAAGGAGTGAGGAGAACAGCCACAAATTTGACATTATGAACTTCATTGGGAGCCCAAACTGAAGTCAAAGAATGAGTAACTGAGAAACAACACTCGGAGATCAAACATGTTACTAGTACACACATGATGGGTTTCTCTTACCTTATGGGCCAGATGCTCAAAGGTCCCACGTTCAGGTCCATGACCAAATAATCTCGGCATGGGGTTTTCCTCTAGTCTGAGGAAATTGTGGTTAAAGTCTTAGATTTTGGCTTTTGTAGAATTTAGTTAAACGCACTGTATGGTACGGCATGAACACAGAGACGGATCAAAATTCATCATCTGAAAATTAAATGAGCTAACACTCACACTTAAAGAGTATTTTCATCCCACCTTTTAACTGCTGCAGCCAAGATCCCAATGCTGGTCTCCCTGGGAGGCATTGAGGAGTGACCAGGGGCCATGGACACACTAAGCTTTACAGTGGCCGAACCTTTTTCACTTATGCCAATTCTGCAAAACACGTACACACATATAAAACACCAGACTTTTTACACAATTTAACAAAGAGATGTAATGCTATGCTTATAAGTTCTGTTATAATATCAGGCATGGCGAAGTACAAACTAAATAGCATGTTTACACTAAAGCATGGCAAGTTCTTACAGAGCAGCAGGTCCTTCAAGACCACTGATGACTCCATCAAGTACAGCCAGGCCCTCATCCAGGACAAAACACAGCTGCGCACCCCGCTGCTTCAGTATACGCATTATATTCATTGCCCCGTTGTAACCACTGACCTTTGAAAATGAAATATCAAAAAGCACTCAGACATTCAAGTAGGTTATTTTAAATCTTCTCACAATTTAAAAAAGTTTAAATTTAAGTTTTAGGAATAGCTGAAGTACTTCTTCATCGTGACCAAGACCAATGTAAAATCCTCTGCGTGGAGCATAGCCTTTTATCAGCAAGTACTCCAGGGCCTGAAGTATTCCCTGGGAGAAATAAAGCGTATCATATATTAGCCTGGCTGGCACATGAAAGGTAAACAAATATATATATCTGAACTCTGTTTTAATAGCAAAACCACACAAAATATGGCTTCTCTCACCATTACTTGGCTCTTGTCGTCTATGGTCCCTCTACCATAGATAAAGCCATCTATCTCCTTGGCAGAAAATGGTGGTGCCTCCCAGCCATCTGACTCTGAGGCAGGTACTACATCAATGTGGGCCAGCAGCAGGTATGGCTTCAGGTCAGGCTGCGATCCTTTCACCCGAAACAGGTGGCTGTAGTTGGCCACCACTTCATGATCAACCAAGCCTGAAGAGAAAACTGTTGGGAAGGCTGACACAGGAGGAAGAGTAAAGGCTTAAGGGGGGGAAACAGATTTTACACGCTGAGGTCAGTTTAATACTTGGCCCTATGAATATAGTTGTATAATTTCTTGTGTAGCTCTAGAGCAGTCTGCATCTGAGGCAGAGGATGACATTATAGGGTTATCTTTACCCCTCAAAATGTGGGTATTCCCCAGTCAGGGAGGATCTAACAAAAAGATTGTACTGGTTGCATTATGTCATGTGCAGGATTTAGTGTCATTGGAGCTTAACCCATACTAGGGAAGTCATGGTATCTCTGCCTATGTTGCTTTAATGTTGACCATTTAAAAAGTATATATATATATATATATATTCTGTGAGTCCTTTATTTCTTTTTTAAAAGCCTTATCAGAAATATGTGTTCCAGAGCTGAAATAATCAACAAAAATGTAAATTTAAAAGCAATAATAATTGATTAATTAATTTCTTTCAAGTAAAACTTCCAAAACATTTGCAGATTCCAGTTTTTAAAAATGTGAGGATTAGCTGATTTTCTGTCTTATATACGTTAGTTAACTTAATATCTTCAGGTTTTGGACCATTTGTCCTACAATTAAAAACAAAGACAATATGGACATGTATCACTTTTTGTCTGACATTTTACAGAGTAAGTGAACAGTTTATTGATTGAGAAAAATAATAAATATTACTTATTACTTGCAGCCATATTGCATACTTGTGCACTGGAGCATGGCTTAATATCAGCAGTTTGAAGCTGAAACCCAAAATAAAAACTTCTGAACAATTGTAACTTTTCACCATTAGCAGCTAGTTAGGTTACACCTGTAGTGTGATGCAATTTCGACTCTAAATTGAAGAAAACCGCACTTATAACGAATATAATGGCATGAATTTGCCTCTACTGTGTGTTTATAAACAAACCAACAGGGATGACGAAGAAGCAGCTGACGGAGGAGACGTTACATCGAACGTTACGTAGCTTACGTTACATCCAGCGTTGACGTTACGTAGCTAACGTTAGCTGGATTTTGTAGCTTGTAAAGTTAGTTCTCTTCAACGTAGTTAACGGTTAGGTTAACCGTTGAACGTTAGGTAAAGCTGGAGTCGGAGCTGGACGGTTAAGTCACGTCCTGTGATAAGTGTAAATCCACTAAATAAAGTACACTGTGAACAGACAAGTGACTAATGTATAAGTCGGTGTGTCATGTGTCAGTTTTACCTTTCCGGAGGAGCCTGTCAAACTGAAGCAGCGCGGTGGTGTTGATATCCGTCTCTGAGAACGACACCGTGGGGATCCGTATCGCCTCTGGATGAATGGACACAGAGAGTTAACGTTAAATAACCCGTACCGCCTGTCACTGCTTAGCTACTGTCCACACAAGGCGACGGTAATTCACGCTTTACCGACTAGCAAGCGCAAAGTTACCTTTAAAATGAGCAAGAAGCTCCTCTCTCTGATGGTGGTCTATGGCAAACGAGATGTTGTTCGTCTTCTCCCACTGTGCGAGTTGAAGTCCGACATTTACATCCAGCGAGAGAGTCCTGAGAGAGGCTATAGTAAATAACAGCAGTATAGTAATGATGAAGCTGCTAAAAATAATCTTTAAAAACTTGAATATTTTGAACTTTGGCCCTGAATCTGTCATTGTAGTGTGCTGTTACAGCGGAACTCGTACACTGTGTGCAGTGCAGGCTGTTTGTTGAATGAGAGCCACCTGCTGGTCTGAAAGCAAACATTCACCGGCTGCATGCAGAGAATAATGCTGTCAGTCTGCCACTGTGTGGAAAAGTTTGACTCCATTAAAGCACCAATATAACTTGCACTTGTAATCTTTCTCCTGGCATGTAGTAAAAGTGGATGTTACTATATGAAAATAATCCCTACTGATTGTTATTATTGTTTCATAAATAGCCTATATAATTTCCTACAGGCATATTATTAGTATTAGACCTGTACTGCATTTGCATAGCCCTGTCTAGCCTATAATTTCCTGCTAAATTACTGCTATATATATATAT